TATATAATCCTAAAGAGGCTCTTAAATATCCTGGCACGACTAATTTGTAGCATACGTTTGAGTATCGCTGAAGAATTGCACATTAGGGTTCGGGCATAAGTGTTGAAATGTTTGAATGAGTATATCGAATACATAGTCCATTTACTGTCAAGGTCAATTAAACAGCGACTTTGTATAGAGATGGATGACTGAAAATCAGCAGTGGGGAAGGTCAAGCATTCGTTGTGTCGTACTTTGAAGTGGTCTGTATCGGGTCAATCTAGTTATCCTTGCTGAAGAAAAAACAATAAGATAATCCTTCTTTATAATAAATCCTTGGTCTTGTCATTGATTTACTTCAATCTCCAAGGCTTTGTCAATATGATATTTAAGAAGAGGCTGAACCCTGATCCTTCATTACTGCACATTTGCATTCATACTACGTTGACAGCTGAATTTTGCATCTGTTAGTTTTTTCTATTCACACTTTTTATAATATATTTTTTCAATTCATAAAAAAAAGTGTGCAAAAATTTTTTACTTTAAAAAAACTACGAAATTAAATGAAATTATCTTAGCTAATGAAGAAGATTACTTCGATAAACAGCCTAAACTTTGAACAAGTCATTTATTTGTTCCAAACAACAATCGAAAAATTGGCAAAAAGTAGTGGCTCTGATGAGTTAGTTAGTCTATCTTTCACTCTTTATTATACTAAGACGCAGTTTATAATATTTGCTGGTTACTCTACGTCATTTCAGTATTTCCAACGCAATTTTGCTCGGATATAACGTGATGGCTTGTTATCATTCTCTTGTAGCAATTTTGATTAGTACATTATCGATAACTCCTATTTTGCCAGTTAATGGTATGCAAGTCATTAGTCATTTATTTTCAGTTTATTTAATGTTTTTAAGATATTTATTCCCTCAAATACTTTTAGCCCTTTTATTTCATTACTTTCAAATATTTTTAATAATATATTTTAAATAAATGTAATAAGAAGACTGAATCAGAATTTGTCGTTTGCTTTGATTTAGACTTCATTTTTCTCGGTGCAAATTTCCACTTCTTGAAAAGTATCATATGTCCTAAGTAGAACTTGTTTTATTTGAAGTGAATTTACAAGATAGAAAAAGGATGGCTGGACAATTTTCGTCAAATAATTCGCATTAATTACCATATTTTTTAGCCTTTAACTCTAATTTGAACCTTTAGCTTTGATTTCAATTCCTTCCTTTTTCGATTATTAAAAATTCATAAATATCATTCATTTATTCATTGCACTACTCTAGAAGAAACATTTTCAATTTTACTTCTTTGCTGTCTTCTTTTCACTCTCTATGCAAATTTGCTGCAAGAAATTTGTTTTTACTCTAGTTTGCATAATTGTTGAGAATTTGAGTGCATATTATTTTAGGTTATTGTTTTGCTCATCCTCGAGTCGAAAATGGTTTGGTAACATATAATTTTTTATCACCTATACCTGAAATGACATACAGTACTGGTTCACTAGCCGCACTCTCTTGCAATCTTGGATTCATGGTAAGCGGTTCAGGTACCACCACATGTACTTCTGCAGGCTCCTGGGAACCAGCCCTCGGTAGCAAGTTTTACTACGTTTAGATCAAATTTGCATTTGCAGAAAACAAGCATGCATCTCAACTCGCACATGCAAACTTTTAATTCTCGTAGGCATATGATTACAAAAATGTTTTTATAAAGCATTTAATTCGAGCTTTCAAGATATCTTCCATGATTTGTTTTATAATTTTTTCGCTGATAAATTTTTTTTTACGAGTAAAGTCAAACTTAATATAGTTTGATCGTTGATATTGATTACCTTTATAGTAATTTCGCAGTATGGTTCAAGTAATTAGCTAATCTGAATTACTGGAATTAGATGGGATTTTGTAAATGCAGAAAGTTTTAGCATGTGTGGACAAAGATTAAAGTTCTATAACTATAATAAAGTTGAACAGTTATGGAGCTTGCTAAATTAAATCTAAATTAGATTACCTTTAGTTATTTTTTCATATGACTGAAAAAAGTGATACAAACATACTCCTATTTTTAATATTGACTGCGATTGATTTCGAATTTTGGTTTCACTTTAGTTTAAAAGTACTGTTTACTTCTGATATGAATCCATGTTTTCACAGAATTTTCGATGAATCTCATTGAATGCTTTTTTATTTAGGATCATGCGTATTAATCTCAGAGGTAATGGCTTCAAAAACACTTCCTACTTGTGGTCCAGCAAATCATGCAATGGGCATCATTACTTATGTTCCAGTAAACTTATTTATTTAAGAAATTATTAGTTTTATTTTTAATAATTACTGATATGAAAAGTTATTTAGTCATATTTTTGAATAAATAATTTGTTTTGTTTGCACAATCCTATTTGTTACAAAATTTAATAGCTATAAAAAAAATGAGACAATCAGTTAATTTTGATGTTGTACAAAAATTTTTAATGCGTGAAAAGCTAGATTTTCAGGGCACTTTACCTGCGCGATTCCAATCAGGTGCTGTGGCTACACTTACTTGTCCAGTCGGACAAAAAGTAGTAAATGGTGCGTCTCGGGCTACATGTGAAAATGGTACATGGTCTGCTAAGTTGGGCGCGTGTAAGCAGGCTAAGTTCTCATTATAAATTAATACCATCCTCTCGAATTCACAATCAAGTGACGCCACTTCATTTATTTGCTATTATCAAAAATAGTGACATTTGACAAATGCACTGATTTAATTTTACGACTTCAGCAAGCTAAAGCTGATGTATTTGTTTTTAAAGCAAATTAGTCCTTTCATATTTTGTGTGAATCTTTCGTCTATTATTTTAAGCGGATTTTAATGCTTGAGATTTTATAATGATGTACTAATACTTATACTTTTGCAACTGAAATCTAATTTAATTTAAAGCAAATTTTCGATCTTGTACTCTAATCTTTTAGCAGATTTTAATGCGAGATTTTGTATTTTTAAGATGTGAAATGTTGAAGACAAAAATGCAGCTGTTGAAAGAGTGCTGTTTGTGTGCGTGAACTGTAAGAAAGATTTGCATAATGCGCTATTATCACATTTGGTACTAACTTTAAAGCAGCTGATCAGCTTTAAACTTTTATTCAAATTTCATTTCAATAATCATTTTTATTAATTTCAGTGCTTTTAGCCAGCAGTATGATTTGTGTGATGATTAATATCTGTCTTCAGTGAAAGGATTATTTCTACAGATTATTTCCGGCAGCATAAAATATTTTTAAATAGTTTTGATTATCGAAAATTGAATATTTTCTAGATATTGAGACGAATTTAAAGTCATGCTGTTGGAAAGAATAGTTTGAGGTATTCAAAATGCCAGAACAAATTTTCGTATTTTGATTTTGAACACGTTCGGTTTCTTCCCATATCTGAAAATTAGTAAAAGCGTGATCACTTATTTTAGAAGTTCAGGACAATTTGGATAACATATTGATAATTGATAATATTCTGTTTATAATATTGTTTTATTTACTACTTACATAATTATCTTTTTGTTATTATTGATTAAAATTTTTGTAGCTCACGTGCTCTACAATCGGAGTATATTCCGTAAAGTTTTCACTTTTTCCATGTACGAATAGGCCTTTGTTTCTATGCATATAATATAATAGTTGCAGAAAAATTGATAAAGTGATAGCAGTGATCATGCTGTTAAGGCGTTGTTTCCATGTTTTGATTTTGACGTTACTTTGTCTTATATTAATTTTCTTTGGAACTATTTTTTGTGAATAACATTTTTATCCATGTTGTTCGCGAATTATCAACATAATTTAACAACATTTTTGTCTATGTTGATTATTTCGTGTGCAAAAATGGTTTGCTACACTTAATCATTATCTCATCCTTTAAATTTGAACTCATTTGAATACTTTTTCTGAAGTTTTTAAGAATGGTAGCGCTGATTTTGATTTTACTGAAAACTTTTAATGAATAATTTTAAAATTCGAATGTCGAATTTTTCTTCCAAATTTTTGAGTTAGATGGTAAAAGTCAAAGTTACAATACTTAAGAATTATTTGTACTATTTATTTTGATTAAAAATAAATTTCCAATTATTCAAAATTTTTTAAAATTCTTTTGGTAGTTAAAATTTCTTACTTTGCTTCAAATCAATTTTTAGAGCTTTTAGTTTCACGCCAAACTCAAAATTAATGATAAACATTTTTGAACCAATATTTAATTGATAATTTACATTCTTTCAACCTTAGATGTGAGTTTTATGATTAATCTCTCAAATGTACAAGAAAGTTTTCACGCTCTAAAATGGATCCTTAATAGTTCAGAGTTCATTGTAAAGTAGACAGTGCATTTAGCACCGTGTAAGTGAATTATTTTTCATTATTAGGCAACAGTTTTTCGTGATAATTTTTGAATGTATTTATGGTATTACACTTAATACTCAAAAAAATGTACAATATTTTGGTATTTTAGAATATGTTTGGAGTCACAACATCAATTTTCACAATGTAAAAAAGTACTGATCAAATAAATAGAGATATCATATCATTTAAAATGAAGTACAAAAGATAAAATTACTGAAGGTAATTATCACGAAAATTGTTGCTGAGAATAAACTAAAATAATTTATTTTTATGATTTAGATTGAAGTTAAAGTACAGTAGTCAGAATTTGTGCTATTTTTGATCTCAAACTGATTGATTCTATCGCTATAATTAATAATAATTGTTAACATTGTGATTTTTCATCGTATTTATTCAATGCTGTTTTTTACGTGATTTATTTTACAGCCGAAAAATTAATTATAAACTATTTTTGACTTTGGTTGGATGTTATATTCAGTACGAGCTATTATTTACTTTCTTCATTATATCATTATGGATAATAAATGTTTTATCATAGTAAACCAAGAAAACAATTTTCTTTTCTGGCAAATATTTTTATTGTTTTTATTATTGTTTTTTTTGCAAAATACAAAAATGTAGCATAAATTGAACAAAAAAATTAGATTATAATTCATCTGAATCTGTTTTCATTTCAGATTCCCTTTTTATATAATCTTTGACAAACTGTGGATATTCATATGGCCAATCACGGCAATGTACAGATTCCTGATAGATTTGATGTTCTAAAGCAATTTCTTCTATTTCATAGCGAACGTTCTTTGTGTCCCCATGAATTTTATGCTTTGTAGTAGTAAAGCAATACTGAAAATAAGTATTAGCTACAACAACAATTACTGTTAAAACTGCAAACAAAAAACTATAAAAAGCTTAAAAGTTTCAAAAAGTAATAAAAAATTGGAAAAGATAAACAGTCATGAAATACTATTCAGTTTAAAAAGTATAAAAAGTTCTAAATAACTAAAACATCTGAGAAATGCCATGTGTTATGCAAGATATGAGATAAATTTTGTTAAAAATATAAATTTTCACTAAAATATCTTACGCGATACTTTTTCCGTTTTGTAACTGGAACACAGTGATGAGTAATATTCAAGAATAGTTGGTCTGTATTTGCATATCGCTTACCAATGACCTGGAAATAACCATCGCGGTTTGATAAAGTATATCTTCCGATTCGTAAAAACCCTGTTTTCATCCCCTCGTCTGTCGCATCTAAAAATTTGCATAAAATTTATCATTGCATACAATTGTATTGATAGTACTTACAAAATGAACATAATTTTTAACTTTACACTCAAAAGTAATTTCAATCAATTTTCGCCTTTTTTAGTATTAATTTTTGGTATTTTTCAATATATTTTAGTTTTTAAATAGGTTTTGCGCTGAAATTAAATGGTGTCAATGATCAAATCAGTGAGAAGTTGTTAATCTTTTTTCTGGCAACAAATTTAGCTGAAGAAATTCATGCACTAATAAAAACGAATACAAAATAGATGCGATGCAATGATACAAACTAATAAGTTATTTTTAGAAAGCCATTACAATATTATAAAAGCATAATTGATTATAATTCAAGTAATGCAATATTAGTAAAATTATAAAATTTTTGCAAATGGCAACATTTTATGCATAATAATTTTAATTAGTTCACAAAATTTAGGCATTAACGCAATATTTTGAATTATTAATTCCTATGATAGTTAAAAAATATATACAAGAAACTTCTTCGAGAGCGCCAATAAGCACTGCGTATGCAGGCGCATTATTACATGACATGTAACCAGTAATGACAACTTGTAATGGAATTTTATCTCGGTGATGAGAAACGCCTGACTTCCACAATATAGCAAGCATAAGTTGCAAAAATGCTACATGTAAATTACTCTTCATTATCATGCTATAATAATTATTATTATCATTATCATGGTTATAATAATAATTATTTTATAAATGACTACAATAGACTAATTTTGGGATGTGCTTAATTAAATCCACCAGAAATGCATAGTTTTAACCATTTAACTGAAAAATTAAAAATAAAAATTTGCTAAAAACCTGCAGCTTATTTATTCACATTTAAATGAGACACAGTGTAAACAGTAATATGAATTCAAGTAAGCTAAATAAATTGTAAGATGATTGAAATTGTCGGAGCTAAAAAAGTTCGCAAAATGTAAGTTTCAGTAAAATTACGCTACTTAAGCACATGTGCAATGCAAAATGTTATATTCATAAAATAAAAATGCCAATCATTAATTTGTGAAAATACAAAAAATACAACCACTCGTGAAAATGATTTAATAGTAGTGAAGTATAAAGTGGCGTAGATTTTGCTAAATTATAGAATAATTCTTTTAATAGCTTTGCATAAATTTTCATTTAAAAAGCAAAAAAATATTTAATGACTGGAAATGTTTGTAATACTTGTGGAGATATGTCTTACTTATTAAAATCTGATAAAATTCAGCTTTTTCATTACTGTAATGCGATAAATTTAGCACTGCAAATACATTGCTTCAGCGCAGAGTGTTTGTGAGAAGACAAAACTGCAAAAATAAAAACACCTCACAGTTAATTGATATTTTTTGTTAACAAATTCACTTCAATCTCAAAATGACTTATCAACTTTGGAAAGTTAAAAAATTGCAGACAGAAATAGTATATGTGCTAGAATACTATTCTAGAACTTAAAGTTTAAAGACTAACAGAGATTAGCAGATAAAAGCTATATTTAAAGGAAAACTCTTTGTCTGATTGCATATGTAATAAGTAAATATAACCGAAAAATAAGTGTGGTTTCTAAACAAATAAATTATTAGCTTTCAAAATGCGCAGTTCCAAAAAAGTAATACAAATATAAGTATTTTTCTATGTGTGTGATAGATGCACAAGTTAATTATGATATTTTGACTATGCCTTTATGCAAATTGAAATAAAGGAATTTGCATAAATATATTTGCATATGTGAATTTATAAAGCACAGACAATTATCCAAACTTATAAATATTTGCAAATATGTGAAGCCAACATAAATTGTTCATACCAAAATAATATGCAAAAGTTTTTAAAATGCCAGGATCTGAACATGTCATTTTGAATAGTTATTTTTGTACTGAGTTAAACTAAATTAGATACTTTTATTTAATAACGTTTGATAGAAAATTTGTCTGGTGGAAACATACTCATAATTCAAATTTTAAAATATGACTGTTGATTTGTTTGTTCAGTTCTTTAATTTCAGGATTAAAGTGTCATAAATTGAATTAAATGCAATAAACCTCTGACGTCATTTTAAAAAATTTCGTGTATTTTTTGATTCAAATGTTAAATAATTAAAATAAACCAAAGTTTTGGTTCGGCCAAAAATAAAAATAAAAAATTTGATTTTTTAAAATAGCATTTTCAATTTCATGCAGTTTGGAGCTGAAAGACCTTAGAGCATCAGAAGATCTAATCGTAAAGAGTCAAAGGAATTTTAAAACAATTTTATTATTTTTCAAGTAATTGTAACAACTGACTAAATTTGTCGAGTAAAAGTAATACTTGCTTATTTGATTACAGATTTCGATTTTGCATGATAATAGGATTTGATTACTTTTCTTGTGACAAAAAACTCAAAATTTCTTCCCTTCATACACGAGTTATGCATATAAATGACATGCAAAGATAGACTTTGTGATCAGTTTAATGGTATTGCTAATCAGTGTTGAAACTTTATCAAATGACAGAAATAATAATAATAATAATAACTTAAAATAAAAATACCTGAAATCATGCAAACATTTTCACCGAAATATAAAACAACTGAGATACTTTTAACTCCAAATCACTTACTTCTTACTAATAAACAAAAGTTACTCAAACGTTGTACGTTTTTCCGCAAAAAAATAGCAAAAAACTCAAAATCCAAGAAATATATGAACAAATCGGACAAGACACAACAAAGATATAATTTTATAACTTGAAATTAACGACGACCAAAAAGGCTTCCAAGTCTTGCTGAATCGAGAAGGGCATCGTAGTTACCCAGGCCAGCTAAGCCACCAAAACCATTTCCGTCAAGTCCAGTATACGGATTATATCCGCCAAACAGAAAGTATCCACCATATGGATTGTATCCACCATATCCACCATATGGATTGTATCCACCATATGGATTGTATCCACCATATCCACCATATCCACCGCGTCTTCTTCCTCCGTAGCGTCTACCGACTCCATCATATCTGCGACCGCTGTTATCATCATTTGCATTATTGTTGAATGACTGCAAAACGGTAAATAAGACAGAAATGCAAACAGTCAAGGTTTTAATATTTATGCAACATTCTTCAATATCTAATCTATCCTTACTTATTGTTCGTTGCATATTTTTTTAAATTATTGTAAACATTACATGATAAACTGTAAAACACTAGTGATTTTGAAAACTGGATATTTTGGTTGCTTTGAATTTATAATTGTGATAATTACTTGAGAAACGATAAAATGATTATTTTAGCGTTGATAAAATGTAAAAACTTTTTATATTTGTAAGCTTAAAGAGTTTTCCAAAACTATGATATTTCATAAAGTTATCATAAATTTTAAGCATTTATAACAATCAAAAAAATAAGATATTAAAATTAATAGACTTTTAATTAAATACTTCACTTCAAAAATAATAATGACTTACTCCATCACCAGCCACATTTCCATTAAACGAATTTTCTGCTTCGCCACTGATTAGTTGCATTCCCACAACTGGCCTAACTTCATTTTTCATATTACTTTAATCAAGTTTCAAATTTTATTTAAAAATTCAAGAAATAATACAAAGCAGTGAAAATAAGTAATTTCCAAAATTGATTCGTTTATATGCAACATTTTTTAAATGAATTTTTTAATTATTTATAAACAGCAGAATATACTTAATTATAAGAAGTATTTACTGACAATTTGTAATCATCAGAAATCAGATCTTATCTTTACTAATTTGACAACAAAATATATTTAAGTTAAAATTTTTAATTATTAAGCATTGTATTCAAATAAAAGTAGTAATTAAGCAGTATTAACTTACAATAGCAAAATAATGGAAATCTTCATTGATTATACCTTACAGTTCGTCAATCAACACAGAATTTTTAGCAGAGATTGAAGTAATTTTGTTTAGAAATGTACCACTCAATACGTTTTATAGACTGTTGTGGGTGTTCGAGAAATAAATTGAAAATTTGCTGAGCAATCACAAGTAAAAAGTTGACAAAAAAGTACCTGTTCCTTTGTTGAGTGTTAAAATCTTCGATTTATCATTTTTAAAACAAAAAATAGGTAGGTTAAATGCGTTTTTTAAAGTAATATTCATTGCTCAATTGAATCTTGCTTTTTTTCCTTCTCTGAGTTATTCACAAATTGAATATTTGCATATTTTTTAATGGCTAAATTTAAAAATATATAAAATTATCATTTGGAAATTATAAAATCTGTACAGTCCAATCAACAAATTTTAGAGCTTGAAACTAATTTGTTTTTTTTCACTTTGCAAATTATTTTATTTGAGAGAATTCGGCGAATTTTGAGAAATGGTAGAATTTAATATGTATTTTAGTTTTTTTTCTTCGCACTTTTCTAAAGTACTGCAATGCTTTGGACTGGTTTTCTTGAACAGTTAATTAGTGCACTGCTTAAATCATCAGTTTGGTCAAAAATCTTTGACTACAACTATAGAAAATAATTATTATTCTAATTAATAATTGTTAAAAGCATTGCAGATTAGCAATGATTAATACATTACCAATATTTGAATTGCTAAAACACTGCTTACTTCGAATTATTGATAATTATCAGTCACACTTCTGTGAAAGGTGAAAGTTATGATTAGTCACAGCAATTCCAGCAATAATTTTTTGCTGAAATGTACATTAATCTTTACGCATATTATCACTAGCAAGCAATTCTTCATCTCACTTTTTTTAAAGTTATTCTCAAGTGAAAATTCTGTTGCAATCAAACATTTTCACTTTTTTCAAATTCACAAATCTGAAGACTGAGCAAATAGTACTAATTTTTTGCTTTTGAATTAATCGGATAATTTGGTTGATAAAAAAGTATACTTTTCAGATTAAGTATAATTGTTTATTTGATTATCCATTATTTGCTTCTGTATAGATAATCGTTTATAAGAATTGTTTGTTTTGATCAGTGCAAATCTGCCTAAAAACAAGATACGTGAAAACAAGTGTACCACTTCTCTTTGTAATACCAAACTTGCGTGAAATTGCAATAACTGGAATCAAATGATACTGAACACAAATGAATCGTTTGAAATTACAATAAGCACTTTAACAACACAATAATCTTAAAAAATTATCGTGAAAACACAATTGTTTTTCATAGCGTTTAGAGTCGATCATTTTGAGCGCAACAAATGGTTATTTGCTAAAGAGTGAGCACATCGAAAGTGTCATCAAAGTTCAAATTTAATTTTAAGTTTGTATTTGAATCATATTTTTTGTACAGTCATTTTAAACTTGTACAATATTATTAATTCCTAAAATAGTGATATTTTTCAGTTCCGATAATTTATTTCCACTGCAAGTAGCAATGATGTTTATTCATAGTTTATATGGAATTTTGGTGCAATTTTTTATTTACTAAGTAAATTGGAACAAAATTTGAAAACATTCAGAGTTACTTTTGAGTAAAAACAAAATTGCTTTTCCATTTTCGCACCAGCTGATAGCAGAATTTTTTCCATGCTCGAAAAATTATCAGTTGTTCATTGATAAGCTACTTCCATTTCACGGAAATTTTCTCTTTTTTATCAAATCAAACAGTATTAGTATAGTACTAATACTCATTTCGGTAATAATTGATAACTTTTTCATTGAGAAAACTTTACAGTTGTGATTCTATTCTTATTTTTAATGAAAACAGTAATCAATCATTGCCTATTGAAGTACAGATTTTGGATTCTTCATTCACATTTTCAAAATGATTTTTGCTAGAATTTCATTATAAAAACCAATAATACTTTTTTTAAATTAAAATAGAAGAAGTTAGGTAAGTTCATTTTGATAAGATTGATTTTAACTAACTGATATGAAAACAACTTTAGTGTTATTTTTTTCGTCAGTACTGGTAATCAGTGCTATGGAGAATTCCAGTCTGGGAAAGGCAGTTTTTATTTTAAGTATATGATTTTTATTTAAATTCTGTTACTGCTTTATTCCAAGTTTTAAAATTCCACTTGGTTATCCTTTAATGATATTAAAGTTTTGACGGTTAATCGATTAAAATTACTGATAAATTTTGAATATATTAACCTCTCTCAGATTGATTTTCATATATTAAATCAAATTATGAACGGTACTTCAACTTGAAAAAATTGTTAGCATTGATTTCTCAAATCAAAATACTAATTTTTTTTTAATTTTAAATTGCTGTTACTTTGTATACAACTAACTTTGTTGTCTAACAATAAATTTTTTTAAGATAAATGCCAAGTTATTAGTTGAAAATTCACTTCATTCACGAACATGAAAGGAATATTAGAAAATTTTTATGCCAAAATTGGTATAACTTCTGAATTACCATGTGTGATACTGTTTGGCATGGCATTTATGTTTGTTTTCGCTGGTTTTGACACACAAGCGTACGTAACAGAAACAGCTCTGCAGTCTATCTCAAAAATTTATCCCGACCGCATGTCCACTCATGCCGGATATTATGGGTAAACTACAAATTTGTTATTAATAATGTTCTATTTTGTTGAGTTATATGACAATTATCAAACTACAAACGGTCGAAATTAAATTATCCTTACTTCTAGTTAGCTTAGATTTATAGGTAAATCATTGGATAATATGTCATAACGAATGCTTTACTTAAGATTATCATAAGCTCTTATTTTACGTAGAAATTGGCAATTAGAAGTTAAAACAGAACCAATCTAATTTTAATATTCAAAGAAAATTCAGTTTGCTTTCAATAAAAAATCTCTGAAATAAGAAAAATTTGTTCACATTTTTAAAAGTTCTCAGTTATTCTAAGTTATTGGTTATGCTAATTAATTTGGAATATTACAAATTTTTTATCCAAACTTCAAAGTTAATAAATAACTATTGAAATTGAAAGTTAACTATTCCAGTTCAATCACATCAGTTCTGCGTGACTTAAACTTTACGTAAATTTAGTAAGAAATTAAAAGTTTTTTGAGTAGCTGTTAGCTAAACCAGACATTGATTAGACTTAGGCACTCTAAATGAGTACTTAAAACAAGAATAGAACAGGAATTTCATAGATTTTCGAAGTAATAATTTTTGAAAATTAAGTACTCATTTTTCTTTTGAATTTATTAAGTACATTTTTTAAAAAGTATCCATTTTGTCATTAATAAGAAGCATGCAAATTTGCTTTTATAAACTTAATATTTGCTAGAGTTGAAATTTTTCAGGGATTCAGAATTGTGATCAAAAAAGATCCTAAGATAAATTCAACATAGTTTAAACAGTTTTGACAAAAAAATTAATATTTTTAATGGAGCAGCAAAGTTTTTGATGTTTTTAGTAATGAAAGCTTAGTTGAAATGATTTTTATTATGTAAGTTAACAAAAGATATATCTGCTCAGACAATCTTTCTTGAAAAAATTTTGATTTAACTTATTTTTATTAAAGTGTAATTCTATTAATAATACTTAATCCACGTAGCGCCGAATTTATAACGAAATGTATCACTTTCAGTATGTGTATAACTTACTTCTTCTTCACACTAATGACGTTTTTCACGCCACTTGTAGTAAGTTACTTGACTGCTAAGTGGACAATGTTTCTTGCAAGTGTGTTTTATACTATATTCATGCTGACATTCATGCTTGTAAACAGCTTAATTTTCTACATGGCATCTGCTCTAATGGGAATCGCTGCGGCTTGTAAGTTTTTGTAACAAACAGTATTTTAATATATTTTTGAATTTTTGTTTGAGAGATCAGTAAGTTGACTTTTCTTGTTCTAATTAAAATTTTATTTTAAGAGCTATTTGAGTAATTTATTTTGATTTCTCTTTAATAGCTTTAGTAGTCTTATGAATAACAAAAAGTGTGAAATTGTAATTTATCCATCTAACTAAACAATATATCGTAATAATTACAGTAAAATATGAATTAAGATGCATTATGTGATATCATAAAAACAGTATCATTTGCTTCGAAGACAAGATCAGTTTTGAAAAAGTAATGAATCGGATTAAGTGCAGAAAAGTAGTGTATTTGATCATGTGACTGAGCGAGCCATCAAATGAAATCACAAAAATGAAGATGAAACTAACGATTAAATCAAATAAGATTATGAGAATTTCAATCGAGTCACACTATTTGCAAATGGCTAAATCGAAATCAAATTAATTTAAAATTTTTAAATTAATTAATTTTAAATGATTTTAAATTTTTTAAATTGCTACATCAGATAAGATTGAATAATGAACTTAGTCTGTAATTGCATTAAATCAAAATCAAATTCTTAGTTCAAAACTGAACATAATCAAATTTATTTAAATTTATTTGAAATTAAATTGAGTGAGAAAAATGTCAATTAATAGTGAATTTAAATATCGTTCAAAAAAAACAAATGTTATTTCAGCATAAAAGTTGCCATACTTAAGTTTAAATTCAATACCAAATTTTACCACTGAAAAGTTTTTTTATAGTATTTTATTTAGAAGAAAAAATTTAATGCAACATATTCCAAAAGATCATTTATTTAAATGTGATAAATTTTTATTCTTCAAAAATTTAGATCATCTAAAATAAAATATTATTTCAGTAATTTGGACTGGACATGGTGTTTACATGAAGGAAATTACTGCATCAGGTAATGAATCTAGAAATAGTGGACTACACTGGAGTATCAACTTTGGCAGGTTAACTAAATACAATCTTTCCCATTTTGATATGTTCATTATTATTATTATTCATAATTATCTTTGATAATAAATAATAAAAAACCAATTTCTTTACTTTACATAAATTTAAAGCTAAACGAAATGAAAAGGCAAAATTTGAAAATTAGTCTTCCAATTTTTCAGACTTTACATTAATGCGGCATATTAAGCAAATTTGATTATATTTTTATAATCTATACCAAATACTTCATTTTTTTGCCGTAATTAAGTAGTTTAATTAAAAAGAGTGCACGAATGTTTTTATGAAAAAATGTACTAACTTTAAACAAGCTTAGAAGTTTAACTTATCTAATTTATCAGACTTTGCAATCATAATGATGAGTTTTTCATTAATGTCTTGTTTAATTCATTACTATTCACCGGTACAGACTTTTCGAATTCTTCTGAATTAACTAATATTTGAAAAATTCAGCTTGATTTTTGGTGGTATTCTTTTACTGATAATATTTCGCGAGGCAGGAGAAGTCGAAACTTTATCAGTGGAAATCATTCGGTAATTAATGAGATATCTTTGCAACTTTTCATTTCATTGTATTGCTGCTTTATTTTACTCTTTTGAATACTTAAATTATAGTTAAAGTTAAGAGAACGAAAAAAATTTTTCACTAAAAACTATAAATTTTCATTTAGTTAATTTATTGGCCCTCATTTTTTTTAGGGTAGAACAACATAAGCAACTTGATAGTATTCTGAACTAAACTATTTACTGTATTTCTACTTTATTAGTTCAAACTTTATTTTTACTGAAACTGTCAAAAATACGTTTGAGAAAAAGTGTAAATTATGTGAGTAAATTAGAAAATTTTGCCTCTAGAAAGTTTTTCTCAATACTTTTCTTTTTTGAGGAAATTTTTGCAAAGTTCAAATTGCTCAAAAGGATTAATTTCATATTTTGTTCAAAATGGTTAAAAATTAACATAACTTTTCCGAAATCTAAAAGACATAATAATTGTAAACAGTAATATACTCAAAAAAGCATTCTATTAATGTGAGATTCATTATTTTTCTACACTTCTCACATGAACTTCTTTAGGCTACAGTAATTTAATATATTTATTTGATTTCAGTGATAAGCAGTATACTATTCAAGATTCAGTACAGTATTAAAAAATTATGTTCTGAAAGTTTATTTTGAAAAATGAAAACTCATTAAATTTGTCCACTTCGAAACTTATTATGCATTCAATTTCCAGTTCATTGGACTTGATTAATGCTAGCTGAACATTAATCTGGAGTAAATTAAGTATCTTGCTTTCATGACTTCACAAAGTTAATATTTAAACTTAAATAATTAATAATAGTTCAAAAACATTTAATAGATACATTTTTGGTGGTTTGTCAGTGTTCACAATTTTATCAAATATTTTATTTGCTTTACTGCCTAATTATTCAAAACGATGTGTGGAAAAACGTGTCACTTATTCTACAACTATTGGTAAGGGGTCAGAAAAAATGTTTTTATTAATATATTATTTACAGTTCTTTCACTGATTAGATCAGTCTGTCCTTCAGTTTGATCAGTTAACCAACTTGGTTATTAATGCAGCATATAATGATTATCATCCAAGTTTTGTAAATCCTTAAATCGCAACATTTCTATTCATACTTTAACTACTGAGAAAAAATTTCGCGAAAAATTTAATTATTTTCTAATTATTTATTATGATAGAAAGTAATTCAAACCAGAATTTCATATCAAAAATTAATGAAGGCAATTTCAAATCAAGCATCAAAAAACAAGTTTACTTCATTTTTTAAGTGCAATAAAGTTGGATTGAAATATCAGACAAGACCAGTTTTTGTAATACTTAAATGCATAAAAATTTAATTTTTGTAGTAATTATTACTTTCAGGCAAAAGTATCCGCTTGTTTTGTGATGCCAAAACATATTTACTAGCCGTATCATTTCTTTTCATGGGATTATCATTATCATTTTATATCACAATTTATCCGTCGTGTTTATTTTTTTCAAAGTCAATTATTGGTGCTGGCAACGAAATTATTGCTTATTATGCTTTTGTTACCTCAGCTTCTCAAATTTTTGGCAAGTTTAATGAATTTTATAACCGAATTAACTTTTGTGATCTTTGATAATTTTTCAAACGAAAAACGAAATACGAAGATTCAGTACTGAAATCGACACTAATTCACAACTGCGAAACTAATGTTTTTATTGAAAAGAAAGAAGTGGAAATACCAAAAAATTCTAAATTCAATAATTGTTAAAAAGTAGTTCAAATTATATCTTTCTTGCCCGTTAATTAGAGGTAAGAGGTAATTTTTTTCCACAAAAGAGTAAACTTCACGGTACTTAGAAAATTTTTGACTTATGTATTTAAACTATTATTTCAAAATAAAATTACGGCTGAGAATGTTTTATTTTTGAAGTACTTATGAAGAATTTACTCAATGCAGTATTTATAACTAAAAAACTATGCGATTTTTTCAAACAGTAATTGATTACTGTGCTTTATAAACGCTTGAAAAGTCAGTATATAACATCTGATAATTTAAACTTAAGACATCACTGAAAAACTTTGTGTTTTTAAAACTTGTGCAAAATTTTTTGCATATTTTAAAATTATTCTTCTATATATACGAAGTTTTCATTTTTTAAATTTACTTTTTTGACTTTTTTCGAGATTCAAAAGAATAAAATTCTTTTATAATTTGCAAATTTAAAAATATTTGTCACTTTCAGGAAGTTGTTTTATCAGTTATATGAGTAATCGAGTTCTCAATTTTGGATATCTACCCACAATGTTGATAGCTTTACCTTTGTATTTCACAGCTTTTATTGCTATCTACTTGGCATTTCCATTTGATGCAAATCTGAAGCCAACCACTCAACCAACGTTTTTCCCACCAAGGCGAGAATCAAAATTTTTTCTCATCCAAAAAGTTATTATTCAACTTGATGGCTGAATTCAGCTCCAGTCAGTTACTTATAGAAGATATTTCACTGTATAATAATTATTTAATCTGTCAATCCAAAACTTACTTAGACTAAGCTAAGAAAAGTTACGAATTCTGCAAAAAACTGCAAAAAATTAGTTATACTGAAAAACCTATTTTCAGTTTAACACTTTGGCTCGTTATTGGAATGTTAATATGCATGGGTGATAGCTGCTGGAATACGCTACGAACAGCTGTACTTACAAAAATGTATGGCCGTGAAAATTCTCCACAAGTTTTTGCATTAAGCAAATTTTTTCAGGTTGTATTTTATCTTTTTCTTCCACACTGCTCAAAAAGTTTACACAAACACTGAAGCTTTGCTCAAAAATATCAGTAGAATAACTTTTGTTTAAGTTTTATACTTATTTCTAAGAGTAAATGAATTTTTTTTTCACAAATTAACACTTTGCAATATGTTATGAATGCTGCCATAAGTTATGATGCAAAGTACTAATTTGTAATGAAATATTACTATGTTTATTTTTTTTTACTGAGGATGAACAATTGTTATAATTTCATATTTTTGGAAGTTTGATGGATCCGAAAAAAAGCTGTAAAAATTTTTTCCTAATAATTTGCATTAATTTTATGCTAACAGATTGGGGCATTGTAACCAAAAACAACCAATTTCACAAAGAACTGCAAAATATAAAACTGCTGTGAATAAACAGCTTACTGAATAAAAAATTTTAGATGCAGAAGCCAATAACTATTAAGATAATATTGGGGAAGTGGGAAACTGAAGGAATAGGCCTTGAATATTTTTCGAATTCAAATCTCTTGTTTACTTAAACACAAAATAGGATTTTTTTATGAAATTGGCAAGATAATAGTTGATAATTGTATACAGTAATCAGGAGGAGATAATTTGTATGTAATACGAGTAATAAGTACAATAAATGATAACTTCAATTACAATTAATATTTCAGTCAATATTAAACGATGAGCACAAATGATTAATTTAAATAATAGAAAATAATCATAATTAATGAAAATTAATTGTGTGGAATTTTTCAAAATCAGTAGAATATTAAAGTGTTGGTTTCAGTCCATCGCAACGTGCGCATCGTTCTTCTATTCAGCAGTGCTAAATTTGCACATACAAATTCTGATTCAAGCACTTGTTTTACTTGCTGGATCCATTTGCTTTGCTATTGCTTGGATGATACATTTACGAGAAATAAAAATTGTTGCATCTACCAAAGAAAACATTTCAATTGCTAATAAAAATGCGCTTAAATATTGAGTTTTGTACTTGTTTTTGGGCTTGTCTTTGCTAAAAATATTTCCTCTCAATTTTTCTGTTCGTTTACTTGTAGTCTTACTTCAACTATTTTCTGTTGCTAAATAAATGAAGTCATTCGAATTTGCATGAAATCGTATAAAAAGTTTTAATTAAAAACAGAAAATTGGGGAACAGTTGACAAAAATAGCTTTAATTATTTGATTGAAATAAAGCAAAACAAATAAATCGCTTATTAATGATCAAATTGTAATGGTAATTTACAAATGACTGTACAATTGATGCAGTTACAATAAATACAGTAAATACACAAAGTCTAATCACTTATACCACTTAACGATAATCAAAAGTTACAGTTAATCACGAATAAAATAATTAATAATTCTGAGACAAGTAGATGCTATGATGATCGAATTGATGAAGTGCCTTGGCATAATCACCAAATGTCAAAGTTCGTAATTCTTATCTACCTCCTTCTAGATCAATTCCTATCATTTTATTTGAAAAAAACCAGAAAAAAGTTTATGAGAATTTGCATAAATTCATTCAAAAATCGATAAAACGATGAAGTGTTTTCAATTTGCATGTTTTTCACAGTTTATTAAGCCTCTATTTACTTTATCATTTTCACTTTCAGTTATACAAGCAGCTGGTGCTCTTACATTGCTTTCTACCAGAAGGTTGTTCTGTAGTTTTAGAGTGAAATTCTGATTTGAGGGGGCTAAAGTAGACAGATCGATATATGACAAAAGTTAAGTTTCAGTGACAGAAATTGGCTAAATCTGTTAATATCATTTGACACAAACTCATCGATAGTAAATCGAAATAGGTTTCAACATATTTGAGCATAAAGGTGTAAAGTTGGAATTTTAGAGTATTTGAAATTAATATTAGTCTGAAGTTTGCTTTCAGGTGGCTTACAGATTCGAACAGCAGAATAAGAAACTATTCTTCGCAGTTATTGTACTCACTAATTTTACTTAAAAAAAGGTTTACATTTATCAAATAAAATTAATTTTGTGCATATTCATTGATTTCACTTGTGATTTGAGTAACGAAACAAGAAAAAATCTTAGACGTTTAAACTAAATGAAGTCAGAATTTAGTTAAAGTAGCTAAAATTTGAATAACAAAAGTTTATGAAATTCAAATGAGCGGCAAGGGATTCAATAAAGAAGTGGATCTTTCTAAAGTACTTGATCTGTATATTTGAAGATTACTGATCCGCTAGATTTAATTAAACTTTAATCTGAATTGATATTTCATGAATTTAATGTAAAAAATATAGTAATCAAAGTTTAGGTGAAGATTTCAGAGTTTTTATTGATGAATTAATATTTAAGATACTTCATTACTATTTATAACTCTCTATATGTGCTAAATAACGAAGCATTAATAAATTAGAAGGAGTTTTGTACTTGATATTAACTGTACATGCATGAATAATTTTTGAGATTATTAATTGCTACATGTATTTAGGAATGAGCAATTTACTGCTTTCGAAAAAATTGTTAATATAAAATGTACTTGATTGCTACAGTATTAATCGATTAAACTATGAAATGAATAAATTCAGGAAAACTCATATATATATTCTGGATAAAAAACTTTCAAAATGTCAGAACTACAAGAAACTGAAACTGTTATCGCAGCACTTGAAGACATTCAGGAACAACCCGATGTATCGCAATATGTAGCGAAAGAAGTCGCTAAAGGCGCTTCTGATTCTACTTCACGAGAAAATGATACAGAAGCTGAAGAAAATGAGCAAACTCTTACCGTATTTGTTACAGTAATTAAAAAAATGGATACTATTTATTTAGTTAAAATTAGTCTAGTCTATAACAACTATTTTCTAATTATAAGCACATAATCTCATAACATATCTTAGAAAAGTTACACGTTGCATACTACATTATTGCATATTCTATGAATCTTAAAAACTGTGCTCATTCTTTAAAAAACAAAATTAGAAATTTGTTTTAAATAATGTAAACATGCAAATTAATAATTCTGCCATTGAGTATAATTCGTCAACAAATTTTTGTTGAAGGTTTATTTTATGCATGATTTCATAGTCGATTCAGAATCATTCATTTGTTGCAAATAGGTCAGGTGATTCAATTAAAATTGTTTCCGTGCATAAGTTAAATATGCTAAAATTACAGCAACCAAAAGAAAAATTTAGCAAAAAATTAAAGCAAGCAATGGGCGACATTCGAAATAGCGCTACTACGCCAAAAATGACTTCAAAAGCAATTATTCCACTTACTACCAGCACAAACTGCTCCTCCGTCAAACAATCAAATTCACCGACGACAGAAATTTTCAAGGAGAATTGTCATCCAGTGAACAAAGTTCACATTTGATTGCATATTTCTGTTACTTATACAGTACCGATATGCAAATTATTTACATAGAATATTTTTGATTATCATATCTATACTAATTATAGAGAAAATTTTTTTGTATACCGACATTATTGAGATCTAAACGCAGGTGATTTTTCTCTCCATTCTATTCGTCTATGAGCTTTTCTTGTTTTCATCAGTTTCAAGTTTTAAATTTGCCAAAACTTTCAAAGACTGCTTCATTTTTCAACAATTTTGAATTTAATCTTTTTATTACGAAGCAGTTTTCTGACTTTTCCTTCGCTTCTAATAATTTTCTCATTAAGTTTCAGATAATTCACTAAAAGATTTGCAATAAAAGTCATACAGATCTTATAAAAAAAGAAAAATCCAAATCTTAGGCTTTAGAAAATCTTAGGCTCTAGAAAAGCTTTTCGAGAACGAAAATGTGAATAAGTTAATAAATCTTGGTGCTGAAAAATTAGAATTTTAAAAGAATTTAATATTTTTTATAAATGATTAGTTGTGTTTTTAAAGCCATGATTTTCTTAGCTACAAAAAGCACATCAAAGAATAGATTTCAATCGTCGGATGAGTGGAGTATTTTATGCAGGTCACGGTAGACGTGGATTTATCAGCAGTGGGTAAATATTTAGAATTCAAATTTTTGTAATGCAATTCTTTTTCGACTGTGATACATTTTTTTAAATCAATAAAAAGATTAGCATTAAGATTACCAGTAATTCCTTCCTAATAATTAGTAATATCTGAAACACAGAAATTTTGTCTAATAAAATATAATTATGCAAATTAACTCGGGGCTACATAAAAGTAACAGAAAAATTGTTTACTTGACCATTTGGAAAAAAAGTGACCAATTGTATGAATACCAACAAAGTTCAATAATTTATTTATCTAATCCATTAAATTTACTGATGTGTTTGTAATTTTTAGAAGAAGATTGTTGTTTTGAAAATTCAGTCGTTTTCTACCGAATTTTGTAATTATAGCAATCATATCGGGTCACGAGGAACATACACACGTGGTTATTGGCTCTCTCAATCAAACAGATATCTTGGAGGCCATTACAGAGGTCTGATTGATGGAAGTAACAAAGGTTTTGGTATTACTAAAACGATGGTAACAAATGATAATACAGGAAAGCCATATACGCGTTCAAGCGAAGCACTGAAAAATAGTAATTCTCAATGTACTTTTTACAGGTATGGCTAAAATGTCATTCAAATGTTGAAAATTTTTGAAATATTTGACTGCAATCATTTTTTACTCAATTTGTTACTTGGTGAAGAATACTATTTAATGCATATAAATTTTTCAAATATCATATGAGGAAAAAGTAGTATATTTGGAGAAAAGTAATGAATTGAGGTAAAAGTTTGACTATAATTGTTGAAAGTTGTCTTTCAACACAACGTGAAATTGGAAGGCATTCAATGATTCTTATAAAAAAATATATAATAAAATTTCGAACTACTGTATAACTATGAGTTGTTATTTTCAAAAGATCGCCAGTTACTCGAATATTTCACAATGGTTCTTTACGTGCTAATCGCGTGGTACATGGAAACAAGACGACGCCATTTTCGATGAGTCGTACATTTTCATTCACAAAAACGGATATGCCTCAATGTATCAAACCTAACGGAAGTAAGTTAATTTTTGTAAAAATTAACGTGCAGAAAATAAAAAGTCTGTTCGTATACTTCTATTCAGTCGTACTGTCTTGCAAATGCATGCTCGAGCTTTTTATTTATCAGAAAATTTATAGTAGTACTACCTTACGTATGTTTACTTAGGTCTACGTAAGGAGAACGTAAATGCCATAAGCAAATCAGTGATCGCGCACTCTAATGACGGATTTCCCATAATTTATGTGGCTCAGATCGGAACCATTTCAATTCTGCTCAAACGAGGGGTTATGATTGAGGTCTGACTTTTCAATTTTGACTTTTCAATTTTCCTTTTGACTTTTCAATTTTACATGCATAATTTTCGCTTTCATAAAATTTTGTAAAAGCTAACAGTAATTAACTGTATATCATGATATATCATGATAACTAATATTAAAGAAGCGTTGCATAATGTAAGCAATTTATTGCTTTTTTGTTCAATTTCAGATAGCAGTTGATCGAGCAGTGCGAATGCTTTGCCATGATAAATTTTCGGTGAATTTTAATAAATAATGTATATTTTGTCAAGAATTAAACAAAAAAAGATTGAAAAAAAATCTGATATGTAAATAAAATCAATATTTTAAGTGATGGAAACCTTTTTAACTAAGTGAATTCTTTAAAAATGTATTCAGAACGAATGTATGCAAAAGTCTTATTGTTTTCAAAATTCATAATTCGATTAACTTTATATAAATGAAATTTTTTCCAAAAAATTAAAAGAATTAGAACGAATTTTTTTTAAATTTCAAATAAATAAATGTGTTTCAAAATGTTTAGGTTGCTTGTACTGGTCACGGAGATGGTTCCTGCATAATGCACCCCAAAACGAGGGTCTTTCAGCAGAATGAAAAAGTATTCTGCAACTTTGGGTCATCTTGTATGTTCATGCAAAATGGTTTTCTAAATTTTTTCAAACTTCGTAGTTTTATGATTTCTGCTGTTTTTCGAAAATGACAATTTTTTACTTCCTCCAATGACAAACTTAATACTTTTTTCTTTTTTTTTCTATATATTATTTTCAATATTTTCTATTTTACAAATTAATTTTCTACCAAAATCATTCTGATACTTCTTAAATTATCTTGAGCTAACTCATTGTAATCGTAGAAATTATTGAAAAACCATTTACAGAAAGTTTAAAATTAAGTATATATTTGTGCAAGTCAAGTCATAAATGAGTTGTTATATTAAGTATCAATGAACGATAAGGCAGCAGTTTTCGGTACGCACGGTGTATTATTCACGATGGCACATTTGAATGAAGCATATTTAGTATCATCGACAACGATGAAAAGAACATCAGCTATATCGCTCGGACGCTTACAATTTCCGAGTTTGGATTATGACTTCACTCTACGCATGTTTTTTAGCGAATCTCAAACGGGCGATCAAGTTAGTTGATCAACAATACTTTTTCCCAAGTTAATGTTGAAAAGAAGTAATTTAACTAATAATTTTATCTAAACTTGATAACTAACAATTTAAACTAAAATTTCAGTAATAATTTAATCTAAACTTTTGATATTTAAAAAACTGGTTCAGACATTAAATAGCCTAACATGTTATTATTTCCTTTGATTATGGACAATTTATACTGAAATCCAATGCTCTTCATTTATAGTTTAGTTTAATCTTTATGAAATCTAATTTTGATATTTTTAGTTCCTATATTTCAGTTCATGCCATTGTGCAATGATATAGTGCAGGAAGCTCGCTATGGTAATCGCGATGATGGCTCATTAATTCTTTCGATTAATGGTAAACAACTTCATTTTTTTGGAATTTTTCCAAACTCTCGCTGACTTTAAATTTCTAGCTGGCATCAATAATTGTAAACATAATCTTTGAATATTAAGAAGTTAGGTAGAAACTTGTTAAGGTATTTATATCAAACAAGAAAAAAATGGTGATGTTGAAGTAAATTGTCGCCCTCGTCATATCAGTTGCTCACCCACGAAAAATACTGTACATGTGAGGACTGATATGGTTGATATGGCGGTCCAGGTAAGATTGAAAATTTTACAATATTTGGTTAGCAAGCTCTAGAATATCTCCCTCATGCTCAAATTTATCATCATTTTTATCTTGATTTTTCGTGCAGTTTTTATTTTTTCTTATGTATTTTCTAAAAATTACTTTTATTTTTAAGAAGAGAAAAATTGGACAAATTTTACGTAACCAATAATCTTTATTTTGAGCTAATAAATGACCAATTATTATAATTTGGTCAATCTCTACCAAAAAGTGCTTTGAAATTTTTTTGAAAAATTATTAAAATATTTTGAAATTCAATAAACACATTTGTTACGACTTAAAAAACAGCAAAACAAGTTTATTTTGCTTTTACGAATCTAAAAATCTCCTTGCTATCTTAATTGACAAAACTGAATTCAATTCACTGTTGTTTAAACTTTTGCAAATTAAGGAAGATGACAAGGCATTTGTAAAAAGAGGTCTGAAGCGTATACATGTTAGTCGTAGTGGAATGGTTGTTTCGGATGGTAACTGTATTGCTTCAATGGATCACTTTGGTCAAATTGTTTCCTCTACGTAAATCATACCAAAAAAACAAATAATAATGGTTGTATTGATAACAAATAATGATGGTTACTACATGTGACACCAATAATTTAATATTATTATCACTTAAAATATCCCCGTCACAATCTCTACAAAATGTCTGGCTGCACACGTTTGTTTTTCCATAGAAATAATAGTTGGATTCGTCACGCGTCCAAAATCAACATATGAAGCATGGAAAATAGAATAACAAATGTTTAAAAAAAAATTAAATGCACGCAAAATTCCTGAAATTATTTGGCATAAAGTATAGGCAAAATTTTCTCTCAATAAGAGTTGTCTTTAGTCAAAAAATTAATTTCTTGCTGTCCTTACTGTGGAGTTATTTGCGCAATAGTGAAAAATGCGAATTTTGTTTTGCTGACTTTCAGGTTGGATATTATTCCTTCTTTTATCCACATATTGAAATTTATCAAATGGCATTTTATTCGGCTTAGAATAACAAACAAAATACTCATACACTTATTGTACTGCAAATGATAAACATAGAAACATGACACAGTCAAACCACAAACGAATAGAAACGAACACAACATAGAAGACTACACTAATAACAGCTTTGGTTTTTACTCTGAACCAAACAATCGATGTGGAATGGAACCAATGGATGTTGAAGCTGAACAGATACCTGAAACTCATCGAGCTTATCACGAAGCTTGCTGGATATCAAATTGCAAAAAACAAATAAGAAAACATACATGCAACTGTTATTAGAAAAAGTAGACGTTTTATGAAAAAACCATTCCTTTACCATCGAGTTATTTGAATCTCACAAGTTGTTTTCAAAA